TCGTGCATCCTGGGGGAGGGTACCCTCGAACTCTCTTCACTTTTGGCCAGCAGAGGGTCTCATGTTCTTGGAGGATGCTCTTCTGGCCTAGGTCCGACCGTGCCTTCCCCCACCCGTGGATCTGGCGCCCACGCGCCAGATCAGATGGCCTGCAATACTGTCAGCGTGCGCCCCATCCTCGCCCCCCTCCCATAGCTTCTCCCCGGCTCCCTTCGCCAGCCTTCGGCAAGGGCCCCCCCGCGGCACACGGCTCCCCCTGAGCAGTGGCCAGCGCAGCCGGCTGGGCTGCCGTGCTTCCCCTCCTGGAGTCCCGCCGCTCCCTCGTGCTCTCGGCGGGGGCATTCGCACTGCCGGGCCCCCGCCTTGGGGTCACACTGGGGCCACCTTGGGGCCATCCTGGGGCCATCCCAGGGGGCCTCGTGGGGGCCTCTTGGGGCCTCGGCAGGGCCGCCTACGAGGCGATTCGACTCGCCTGCTCGGCCCACGATCTTCGACTCCGACTCGATCTCACTCGGCGCGAGCCGCTGGCACAGGCCGGGGACGGCCAGAGCCAGGCGCGGCGAGCCGATCTCGGCTCGGCTCGGGCCGAGCCGCTGGCGATCCGATGCGTTTCCCGTCCGACCCGACCTCGCGATGCAGTCCGGCTCGGGCCTGCTCGGCAAGGGCTCCCACGAGGGCGCGAAGTTATTCGCGCTTCGCGCTTCGCGGTCCTCGTTCCTTCTCCCCCTCCTCCTCGTTCTCCTTTTCTCCCTTTGGGCGGGCGGCGCGAGGGCGCGAAGTGATTCGCGCTTCGCGCTTCGCGGAGCGCGAAGCGCGAAGTTGGGAGCCCTGGGCTCGGCCTGGCGTCCTCGAATCCTGCTTGATGCTGCCGAGGCCCGGCCGCGCAGCCCGATGGCAGGGGCCGATCTGCGGGCCCCCGCTGCTCCGCCTCCCGGCCTCCTCGCACCTCTCGGCATCGCTCGGGCGTGTGCAGTGTGCTCGGCGAGGGCCATCGAGGAGCACCCCGGATCATCTGGGGCGTTCCAGAGAGGGGCCTTGCCTCCGAGAGTCGAAAAGTTGCCATCTCTTCCTCGGCGGAAGGCAGCGGAAGGTCGGCAGAGGGCGGCGGAAGTAAAGCGGGGACGGCACGGCTGACAGAAGCCGGCGGAAGCAGAAGTCAACTTCCCAAGAGATGACAACATTTTTGGGTTCAGGGTTTCCAGAATCGGCCATTTGGCAAAGCAAGCACGCACGAGACCAAGACACGCACCGATGCCTTGTGGATGCGACTGGATGTGGACCCCGATCTTCTCCACGCCGACGGCGCCGATGTGTCGCCGATTCATCGCCCATGTGCTGGCTATGCGGCGCGATCCTCCGACCCCATCTACGCGGACCCGGCCTCCAGATCCCTGGCGCCCGGGTCGCCGGGGCGCCCCACGCAGGCCTGCGCGCGGCTGGAGCCAGAACGCAGGCCCCCAGTCTCTGTCGGAGGCTCCCTCCGGCTTGGCATCGCTCGGACGTGTGCATTCTCCTCGCCGACGGCAAGGGCCCTCGCCGACGGCGAGGGCCCTCAAGGATCGGGCCGAACGAAAGGGGGGGATTGGGAAAGGGGGGGTACGAAATCAGCTGCATGCAGCCGGTTTCGGCCCCGCCGCCGGGCCCATTCCTCGATACATGGGCGCCTCCCGGCGCCGGGAGGCGCCGGGAAAATCAGCTACGTGAGCTAATTCTTCTGCACGAACGAAATGGGCACGGAAAGAATGGGTACAATGCCCAAGAGCAGTTCCTGTTCATTTCGAACAGGACTCGCTGTCCGCGCCGCCGTGGCCTGTGTCCATTTGAGACAGGTCGCCTGCCCAACAGCGGCCGCTGTTGGTTTCGGACAACATTTGTGGTCGGGCGTTATACCCATTTTTTTCTGTTCCCATTTCGGGCGTCCAACATTCTCAAACCCCCCCTTTGCTATCCCCCCCTTTCACCCGGCCCTCGAGGAGCAGCCTGGAGCATCTGGCAGCGAAAAAAGCACGCGCGAAGCCATCCACTGCGCGGGGAGGGGACGCCCGAGCGGTGGCAGTCCTGGGTCCGCCGAGTCCCCGGCCTTCGCTCGGCGCGTCCTTTGCAGCGTTGAGTCGGGCGTGTCCCTCGACAGGAGGAATGCTCCCCAAATGGTCAAAAAACAGTGTGGGGACTATTCTGGAGTATTTTTTCTACCATTTTGGAGCAGTTGTTGACCATTTTTGGTTTTTCGTCAAAAAATAGTATGGGGACTGTTCTTGAGCATTTTTGTTGAACCATTTTGGCGCAGTTGTTGACCATGTTTGGTTTTTCGTCCAGGAGTCCCCCTGTGGGGGGGACAGGCCCGACTTACTTGCAGCGCGGCCCGGCCCTCTCCGCGCGGGAGCGCGCACGGCCTCACCGGTGGGGAGGTGGGCGGGCAGGCAGGGGCCCGCCTGCGGGCCAGCGGCCGTGCCCCGCGGCTGGCGCCGCGCGCTCGCACGCGGGCGCCAGCCGCGGGGCCCTTCGAGGTTGCTTCCAGGGTCCGACTGCTCCGATGCGGTGCTGCTCCTCCTCCTCCTCCTCCTCCTCCTCCTCCTCCTCCTCCTCCTCCTCCTCGTGCTCCTCCTCCTCTTCCTCCTCCTCCTGCTCCTGCTCCTGCTCCTCCTCCTCCTCCTCGTGCTCCTGCTCCTGCTCCTCCTCCTCCTCCTCCTCCTCCTCCTACCTCCTCCTGCTCCTGCTTCCTGCTCCTCCTCCCCTCCTCCTCCTCCTCCTCCTCCTCCTCCTCCTCTCCAGCTCGATTCCGAGGTTCCGACGGTCCGATTTGGCCCGATGTTTGCGCGGTGGCGGTGTGCGGCCGGCTCGATTCGACCTCCTCTCCAGGAGGATGCAGCCCGATCCGAGGCATGCCTCGACCTATCTTGTCTATCGACCCAGTGCCGGGACTGATCGGGCCTTCGTGGCAAGTTTCTGACCCCAGACATGCGATGTCTTGTTTCTTGTTTTGTTCTCCCCTTGTCCGAAATATGGGGTTCTTGTTCTTAGTGTGATGCCTCTGCCTCAACTCTTCTTTCCTCCCGCCTGCCCTCGTCTCAGGTCATTTATACTGAGGCTTTCTCTCACTCAGACTCACTCACACTAAGATCTACTCACAGACACTCGGGCACACTCAGATTCAGAACCACACTCAGATCCGCTGATATTCATATCAATTCTCACTCAGATCTACTCATACTCAGACTTGCACACACGCAGACTCACTAACGCACGCATCACTCTTATACATATCCACACGTACTCAGCCAAATCATACTCAGATGAAGGGATTTGTTCGGCGGTTTCCTGCTCTGTGGCTCAGGCATCTTTGTTTGGGGCCCCATGCTCATAGCGATGAGGCAGGCGTGGCATTTGAGCACCCAAGGAGGAGCCGCTAGGAGGTAGGACATTTGCCCGTTCGCGCCCAGATTGTGGGCATGTCTCCAGCGGTCCGCCTGTTTCGGCGCTCCCGGTTCTTCTCATCCGAGAGCCCCACACTCATCGCGATGCAGCAGGCGTGGCTTTGGGCACCCGATGAGGAGCCGCCAGAGGGTAGGACATTTGCCCGTTCGCGGCCTGAGTGTGTGGGGGTGTCTCCAGCGGTTTGCCGCGTGGTGGCTCGGGCTACTTCCTTTTGCTGAGGTCCATACTCGCAGCGATGTGGCAGGCGGGGCGTTTCACTATCCCACAGAGAAGTCGCCAGGGGGTAGGACAGTTGCCCGTTCGCGCCCATATGATGGGATGTTTCAAGCGGCTTGCCTGTTTGGTGGCTTAGTTCTCTATCTTTTCAGAGCCCTATGCTCGTCGCGATGTAGCAGGCGTGGCGTTTGGGCACCCCATGGAGAAGCTACAATGTGGCAGGACATTTTCCCGCTCGCGCCTTGAATGTGTGGGGATGTACTAGGGGATTTGGCTGTTTGGTGACTCAGTTCTCTTTCTTTCCAGAGCCCCATGCTCATCGCGATGTCGCAGGCGTGGCATCCGAGCACCCAAGGAGGATTCGAGATAGGGAATAGGACATTGGCCCGTTCGCGCCCAGATTGTGGGGATCTCTCAGGCGGTTTGCCTGTTGGGTGGCTCAGGCTTCTCTCGTTTCTGAGCTCCCTGCTCATCGGGCTGTAGCAGGCGTGGCATTTGAGCACCCAAGCAGGAGTCGCCGGGGGGTAGGACATGTGCCCGTTCACGCCCAGAAGGTGGGGACGTCTCAGGCGGTTTGTCTGTTTCGGCGACCCCAGTTTCTCTGATTTGAGAGCCCCATGGTCACCGCGATGCAGCACGCGTGGCAACTGAGCACCCGGGGAGTAGCTGCCAAGGGTGGTTTCGCCTAGACTTTCGCGCCCAGATTGTGGGGATGTCTCCGGCGATTTGCTGGTTTGATGGCCCAGACTTTTCTCTTCAGAGCTCAGTGGTCACCGCGATTTAGCAGGCGTTGCATCTGCGGAGCCCGAGGAGGAGCCGCCAAGGGGGGCTGCACTTGTTTGTTCGCGCGTAGATTGTGGGGATGCTGCGAGCGGTTCGCTGGTTTTAGCATCCCCGACTTCTCCCCGTATCGAGCCCCATGATCACCGCGACGTAGTAGGCATTGCACTTGTGCATCCCAGCGGGTCGCCCAGAGGCAGAGCACCACGAAAAGCCGCCGCCCTGGCTCTGCTCACGACGCTGCGTGCCCCTGGGGACTGCCCCGCGCTGTGCTTCACGTTCTTTGAGCGGCCTCTGTCCGTCCCTCCGCCCCCCTCTCCCCGCGCCACTTCGTGCCTACAGTCAACCCGCATAAGAAGGATGGGCATCTTTCCCAAGGGTCCCCTTTCACTTGCATCCTTGCCTCCTCGGTCTATCATTGGCCACTTTCGTTGGCCGCGCTCCGCTCGGGAAGCTTCGGAATGGGCGTCCACGGCCCTTGCACCCTTCTCGCGCATGCTTATGACACGGGCCGATGGTATATTTGCTCCCGCCCGGTGCACGACTGGCGGTTGCACCTGCTCGATCAGGAGGTGTACGCGGACCTCCCCGACGAGGCCGACGAGGCGCCCGTGGCGCTCGTCGCGCCGCCGGCCCCCGCTGCACCCGACCCTCCCGCGGCGCCCAGTGCCGCCGCCCTCGCCCCCGTCGGGCTCGTGGCGCCCGAGCCTCCCGCGGCCCCCGCGGCGGCCGAGGCGGCGCCGGAGGCCCCCGCGGCTCAGGCGGCGCCAGTGCCGCAGGACTGGGAGGAAGTTTCGGAGGGTGGTACCACCCCGACCCCGAGAGGATTGGCGTTTGCTAAACGGCCCTGGCCGTTTACTAAACAGCCCTGCCCTGTTCGATTC